TGCAAGAGATTAGAATAGAGAGCATGCTAATGCACTCCCTGACACAAGCTGGGGCTGAACACAACTGAGGGAGGCTCACGGAAAGTTGCATACAACCATCTTTGCAGAGAGAAGGGGCTCAGAGGGGGCTTTGCAGCCGGCTTCCTGTGTTGCTGCAACAAGAAAAGGGATCGAGTTCCAGGGACATGAATTTGCATGCAGTTTGATAAAGAACAGAGGTCTATACCTGGAGTCAAACTTTTTGCCATCTTTAAAGGTCCCATTGTAGTGGTAGCGAATGAAATCCCCCATCTGGACTTCTCGCAAGCAGATTTTAGGGATGTAATATCTGTCTATCACCACGTCTTCTAAAGGACCCGGGTCCCCCAGGCCAAAAGCCCTTAGCAGGCTCATGAGAAAGATGAGGCTGCCTAAGGACATGTTGCTTGGAGCCTGTTGCTGAGAGGAAAGAAGCTGCAACGGCAGATGTGAGAGGCTGCAAGAGGGCTGGGTGGTGCCTTCTCAGAGGGCCGGAGATTCGCCTTCCTGCCTCATTGATTCCCACCCCCGAATCTCGCCAGGAATTTTGCAAACGTGTAAAGTGGGCTTGAGGCTGCTGAGGTCATTTAGCTGTCTTCAGTCTTTTTGCAAGGATTCTTACAAATTCTTTTCATGAAGCGAAGCCCTAGCAATTTTCCTCAGCACGTTGGGATTCAGGAAGGCAAAAAAAACCCAGTGTTTAAAAGTTCCATGTTGGGATTTTTTTTGGCAATTATTTCTGAAAAGGAAAACGCTGAAGCAGACTATTTTACTGCAAGTTTGTACAGCAAGAGGTCCTATCCCATCCAGCAGCCAGTTTTAGGCTGGGTCCTAGTGCCGTCATCTAGATTTTCAGGCCTCTTGCTTTGAGCTCAAATTTATTCCATTTTCTTGCTTGAATGTTAGTTTTGCTAAACAAAGGTTAGGAGCCAGGAATGATAACTACAATAGATAGATAATTATTAATTAGAACTTAGAGCTGCTGATTAACAATTTTACAAAGTGCAAACAATAATTTGGAAGTGTTGGAGTGATTTCTATTTATAGATGTTGCATCATCTATTCTTCTTCACGTGTCCTCTCATCATGTTCAAATTTGAGTCCAAAAATGGGTACATAGTCTGAGCCAAAAGAGGGGTACAGTTATGGCACTGCATCCCTTCTGGATCCAGCCCTGCATACTGTTCCTCAGTCTGTAGCCTAGTTAATGCTTAGTTCCCCCATGCATGGGTAGCACTCCATGCCAGTAGTGTTATGTAGCCTGAAAGTTTCTTCCACATTCGGTCATGGTGTTTGCATTAGAATACCCCCACCATTGCATGTTAACTTTAGTCTCATCACCCCCTGTTAGGAGGCAGCTCAAGCTTGCAGTACACTTGCCTGTTGCATGCACCTGTGCTTTCTACAAACCCATCTGCAAATGGCAGTATCCATGGTGAATGCACTCTAATGATGTATACAAAATACATATGCCTGAATGTACAGATGTGGGAGAAGTAGCTGCTAACAGGCATAGCTGCCTGTGTTTCCCTTGACCCTAATCCTGCCAAAATACTAACAGAGCAGCATTCCCTAGTTGAAGAGAAAATGGTTTTTATGGCCAAGTTCATGCCCCTTCTGATGAGCTCACCAGCAAAGGAGCCAGTCCTCATCGACTGATTGAGAGGGTGAGATGCATCTTCAGTGGGAACTGAGATAAGACCTTCTTCATCCTGACACAGGCCACAGGCCTATGATGAGCTACCACTCATCCCCTCAGCCAGTGAGACCTCTCTGTTAGCAAAGTTGATGGATTCTTGGCCTCATATTTTGAGGCACAATCACTGCTGGTGAGGATCCCACTTAAGAGAGAAACATGTTACTGATCAGTCTCTTCTGGTGTTGGGGAACATGGCCTCTTTTCAGTGGTTTGGAAAGGGTCTTGCAGGTCATTCTCCCAGCAATGTTTGTGTCCAGCTCCTCTAATGTGAGCTTATTAAGCATGAGTGATCCCCCAGTCCTTTACAGCCCATCAACAATATATGCGGATTGTAAGATCTTTGGGGAAGAGACCTTCACACCTGTCTATAAAGCCTTTGCCACAATGGCTGCAACAGGACCCATCCTATTCCCCCACTCTACAATAGATGGTGGTTAAAATGCCAGGGCCTGTCTCACCTCATCTACACCAGAGCCCTCAGTGTTATTTAGTAAACTGGTGGCATCCAGAGTGGACAATATTAGAGAGAAAGGCCTGATGTAGATGAGGATTTTTCCTTAGCTCAACTAATGCCCGTCCCAGCCTGATGTACAGAAGGAGCTGAAATCCATGCCTTAGCCTGAGCTGCTGGAGGTGGTTTGGGACTTCACATGCCCTTTTGTTCACCTGGGGACTTTGCAGACTTTCAAGTTTTAATCTACTCAAATGTCTTTAGTATAGAATTGAGAGCAAATCATTTTCCTTCAGGGGATACGAAGCAAGCCTCTGCCACTGCTCAGATTTATCTAAGAGGAGCAGCAATTCTTGCTTGTGGTGAAGAAAAGGAAATTTCTCCCCCATAAGCTTCATCAGTCTGCATGAAGGCCTTTACCAGGGTGCCTGTTTGCTATCCTTCAGCTGGGAGAAGCAACCATGGGACTGATATCCTTGGGGCTGAGGGCCTGATCCTGTGAGACCTCATGCCTAATGCCATGACATCCATTGTGCTCTAGGGGTAACATTCACCCTGAGGCAGACAGCACAGAGCTGAGGTCTCCCTAATGCCCTCAGAATAGGAGCAGAATGATGTATATAGCTTGTAATCACTCTGCAGGGGGCAAATGGCACCCTAAGTGACCAGATTTATCCCCATTTGAGGTTGCTGCTCCTACCCCATTGTTGAAAACTGCAGCAGCTCCTTTAATGGTATTTCAACACAAAATTAGCCACTCCAGCACTGACCCTGAGAGCTTGGATCTGGAGACCGCAGAGCTTCCTGCATCATCAGCAGCAGCGCCAAGGGTCCCACACAGGGCTGAACTGCCCTCCACATACACATATTATGAGGGAAGGAGTTGGGTTTCCCATGAGCGGATGGGCAAAGACCCAGTAGATTTGCTGCTTCATGCCCTCTTCTTTCTTCTGGTGCTGGTGCCCCAGGGCTGGCCCCTCTGGCACACACAGTCAAGCCCTTTTGTGGAGTGCTGCTCCTTGGGAAATGCTCCCAGCAAGAGTTGGGACTGAATATGATGTAGAGGAACGTAGTTAGTTTGTTAATCTGAAGCCAGGTAGAAGGCAGGGTAGATTTAGCACCCAATGGACAACTAACCAAGGCAGATATATTGCTAGGCTTTTGTGAAGTGAAGCTCAGAAGTGAACTTCAATTAATGAGGCTGGCAGAACCAGGGCCCTTTTGTGGAGTGCTGCTCCCTGAGGAATGCTTGTAGCAGGCGCAGGGATTGAATATGGTGTGGAGGGACATAGCGTGTTAATCTGAAGTGAATTAGAAGAAGGCAGAGTAGATTAGCACCTAGTGGACTGACCAAAGCATGCATAGATAAGATAGATTGATAGACAGACAGATAGATAGATCAAGCATTTATGAACTGAAGCTCAGATATATATCTGTCTGTCTGCAACACAGAGCCAAAGCCCTTTCATGGAGTGCTGCCCCTTGGGGAACACACCCAAGAGGAGCTGGGACTGAATATGGTGTGGAGAGGTGTAGTTAGCTGCGTTAGTCTGAAGCCGAGTAGAAGGCGGCAGGGTAGTGTAAGACTATCGTAGGGTAGGATGAAGAAGAGGGCATGGAGCAACAAATCTACAAGGTCTTTTCCCTTCCAGTCATGAGAAGTCCAGCATAAAGAGTGTGCGTGGATTTGTGTGAAGGTGGGGTAGGCTTAGCACCTAATGGACTAACCAAGGCAGATGTATAGCATAATAGGCCTTTGCGAGGTGAGGCTCAGAAGTGAAGTTCAGTTCACGAAAGCTCTTGCTATCTGTCTGTCGGTGGCCTACATGAGATACTGACTGTGCAGTTGTTACTGTGCAGTCATTTAGTACTCGTATAAACCAATACTAAATGAATGCGCAGTAACCAGAGTTACTGTGCAGTACGTAGCATTGCCAAATGGCTTTTTCGTGACCCTAACTGCACAGTAGCCTGAGATTCCTGTGCAGTAGTGTCACGTCATGCTTCCCGCCACTGAAAGCTACTGCGCCGTAGTCACGGGCTACTGTGCCGTAGTCATCGGCTACTATGCAGCCGTTGTCTCATGTAGAGGTGGCCTGTCTGTCTGGCATGTGGGGCCAGAGACCGTTTGTGGAGTGCTGCTGCTTGGGGAACGCTCCCAGGAGGAGCTGGGACTAAATGCGGTGCGGGATAGCATTCACCTCCTCTAGGGTAGGAGAAGGAAGAGCGCAAAGCAGCAAATCTACTGGGTCTTTGCCTTTCCATTCATGGGAATCCCAGGTCCTTCCCTCATAAAGCATGTGTGAGTGTGCATGTGTGTGTAGATGAACCAAAGCGCAGAGTGAGCACACACTTCCATGAACTGAAGCTCCCTTCACCAGCATGGGGGCGGATGACAGAGCAAGGCCTCAAGTGGCAGCAAGGGAAATTGAGGTTGGACAGTTGGAAGAATTTCCTCCCTGGGAGGGTAGTAAAGCACTGCAACAAGTTACCCAGAGATGGGATGAAATCTCCATCCTTGGAGATTTTTAAGACCCAGCTGGACAAAGCCCTGGCTGGGATGATCTAGTTGGGGGCTGGTCCTGCTTTGAGCAGGGGGCTGGACAAGATGAGGGCCCTTCCAACCTGAATTTGTTATGATCTGATGAGGCGAGGCTGCGGTCGGGAAACCTTGTGCTTGTCTGTCTGTCTCCTCAGGGTGCTATTTTATCCTGCCGGCCCAGGGGCCTTGCCCATCGCCACCCCCGCGCGGGGCCGGGAGGCGGCGCGAGGCCGGCGGCTCCGCCTGCAGCCCGGAGCAGCGCGGAGACCCCTTCCCGTCCCGTGGCGGGCATGGCGCGGCGCGGCACGGGGCTGGCGCTGCTGGTGCCGGTGCTGGCGCTGCTGGGGTTTGGGGGGGGGCCGGGGGAGCGGG